GCACAGTCCAGGAATGCAAGACTGTTGTTTTTCACATCTTCTTTGGTGAACCTGATGTTCCTGTCCACTGCATTGATGTGGTCTGTGAAGTTATCGACCTCATGGACCTTGATTTTGACCCAAGTGTCGTCCACATATCGGAACCAGTGGCTGGGTGATGTTCCCACGTAGGAGTGTAGAGCTCGGCTCTCCAGGAGAGACACAGGAGAGCCTATGGCGCAGCTATGCTATGGCGCAGCTATGCTTCTGTCTGTAGGACTCGTTGAACTGGAAGTAAGTGGTGGTGAGGCATAAATCCAAAGGGGCACAAATGTGGTCAGTGGTCAGGTTGGTTCTTACCGGCAGGGTGTGATCTTGAAGTAAGCACATCCTCACTGTTGCTACTGCCTCTGTGGTGGGGATGCATGTAAAAAGTGATGTGATGTAGTAGGAGGGGAGGTTTAGCACTGGAGAGTATGGGCTGTCCTGTGTCTCCCATAGTGGCGAAACTCTACATGGAGGAAGTGGAGAGCCATATATCGTTAATATTTGAATAAATGTATTTACAATATCTTAACACCAACCCACATAGACCAGTATCTCCGTTTTGACTCACACCACCCACTGGAGGACAAATTTGGAGTCATCAGAACCCTACAGTCTCGGGCAGGCACCATTCCCACCACCAACAGAGGTAAGATGAGAAAACAGGGACACATTAAGACAGCCCTCATGACCTGTGGCTATCCCAGATGGGCTTTTTTTAAAAACTAACAAAAAGAGGCCCACAAAGAGGGAGGACAACAGGAGGAGGGGGAATGTCATCATTCCATACATTTCAGGAGTTTCGGAAAAACTTAGGAGGATCTTTAATCAACACCAGATCCCCGTACACTTTAAATCTGGCAACACCCTAAGACAAAAACTGGTTCATCCCAAAGACAAGACTCCAAGAAACATGCTGGACAATGTGGTTTATGCCGTTCAGTGTAGTGAGGAGTGTACGGACCTGTACATTGGGGAGACTAAACAACCACTACACGGGCGCATGGCCGAACACAGGAGGGCCAGGACTCAGCTGTTCACAAACACCCCAAGGACAAAACACACTCCTTTGAGAACAACAATGTGCACATTTTGGCCAGGGAAGACAGATGGTTTGAGAGAGGGGTAAAAGAAGCCATTTTTGTCAACCTGGAAAAACCATCACTCAACAGAGGAGGTGGACTCAGACACAACCATACTTTACAAAGATTAGTTCACAGTGAAAGATTAGTACTTATAAAGCACTTTTAGGAACAATACCCAAAAGTTTCACCTCAGTTTCACACAACAAAGAGGCAGGTGACAGAAACCGTTCTGATGGGGACCACAACCACCCATCAGACTCTTAACAACTGTTTACACTTTCACAGTTGACCCCATGGCCCCACACAACAGGGTGAAGCAGAAGTAGCGTTATTCTTTCACACTTAGAGTATTTATTTGCTGTACTCCCCACCACCAGTTAGAACTGAAGAAGCCTCTTGGATGAGAGGTGAAACATCTTCTTTCAGAAAATTCACGTCCAGTTGCCTAACAGAACTTTCAAATACTTGGGTGATCATGTTCATCTGCAGGTTATTGGTTAGCTTACAGAAAATCAGAATTGTTTTTACACAAATAGAAATTGGTTGAAGGTAGGTGGCAGTAATGCAACCCCCCAAAAAACCCAGCTGCTAATAAAAACCCCAAGAAGAAGGTTAGTGAAGCTAGGGGCAAGGGACAAAACATTTCCGGACAATTGGGTGTACCTGAATGTAAGCCCCGCCCACTAAATTTAAAAAAATAATAATTGTAAATATATAGGCCACACTTCTCTGTAGGGTGTCGAGATTGTAAGATGGGATATTTACACAGAGTTACACAGAAATATTTTTTTTTTTACAAACAGTGCCTATAACACAGCTGGTTACACGTTAGCTCTTTGCTGCTTTGGCGCCTGACCAGAATGCACAGAGGAGGCTTAATGATCTGCTCCAGGGCCAAAGCAGTACATAAACGCGTTTTAACAGAAAAGTCATTGATCACTTGCGGTATGAACTTTGTTATATAAATTAGCCTCATCATTGTTTAAGAAGAATTTTTTTAATTAAAAATGTAAATGTGAAAATATGAATTTTACCCACGTACTGGTGGTACGCATACTACAGTTTGAGAACCATTGGAATAGAGCATACAAAAAAGTTACTTTGATATCCACAAAAAAGCAGCATGCACCTGAGTCTCAGTAGAGAAAAAATGCCAGAAAATTAGTCAAACAGTTCTTCTTCCACACTTTTTTGGCTGGGAGCTACTTTTCAAATGACCAAGGTAAAGTGATCTACCTACATTGAAAACTATAAATATATATTTACTACTTTGATTAAATGGCTCTAATTGTATGGCGCAATACTGACCGACCCAGTACTTCTATGGTTCTTACATTAGCCCTAGTGATTAGCATCTTTAAATAGAATAAAATCTATCATTTTTATCCTTTTTTTTTGTTTCTTTAAATGTAATTGCTCAGGATCTACCCTTTGAGATCCCGATCTACTTATTGGGCAGCCCTACTCTAATCTGTCATTTCCCTTTTTATAAAGCAGTTTTTTTATCCATCTCTATCTGCTGTACTACAGCTTAATACTGTATTTGACCCCTGTTTGTCTTTGTAGTATCTGACACACGTGGTGGAAAAAACAAGACCGCCATACCTGACGATGACCTTGAAAATGTCCCACCCATCAATCAGTCTGTTGCCTTGGCGATTGCTGGAAACCCCTTTAACACACTGGGACGGAATGTCCTGGTTTCCATGGTATCCATGGTAAAAATCTGAAGTGATGTTGTCGTAGATGTAGTCTTTTGATTATATGTACATTATTTGAATATGTTTGTTATTAATTCAGGTGTCAAAAACTCAAAGCTACCCTTCTCTTCTGCCTCCTTGGCTACTTTCAAACCAGTTTGTCTTTGTAGATGTATAAAAATACTGATGAGCGAGAACTGAAGGTGTGCCATCAGCCCGGGGTTGATCACAAATCTAAACACCTGCATGAATGCTCCTTATTTTTAAGGAAGTCTCCACCTTTCCTTTAAATATGAAACACATTTATAATACATATTAGTCATCGACTGCTGATGCTGGTGAACCATCTCTGCGGTAGGGCAGATACCTGGAAACCTGGAAACCAGGTTCCTGGTGGGACACTACAAGGTTAATTACTTCAATTATCAAAGCTGCCACAGAATGTAGAAGCAGCAGCTCTCTATAGTCGCAATTCACCATCACACAAATGAAGGTAAATTTGAAAAAAAATGTAAAACATTTGAATATTTCCCAGAACCAGAAAGAAGTGTTTGTGGTATGGTAATGTTGGTGGAAGTTTTTTCTCTTAAACCAAAGCCACTGATTTTTAATGGGACACCCTGAAGTACACTACACAAAGAGAAGTTACAAAGCTAATATTTGATTGATATGTATTCAAGTTGTTATTGTTAGTTCCTTCCTTGCATATGACATTTTTTGTGCATACATGGATTTGTCAATGCAGAGGCTAATCATTTTAGTTCTCTAAAAATACATATACATCCATCCATCATCCTCCACTTATCCGGGGCTGGGTGGTGGGGGAAACAGCCTGAGCAGGGACACCCAGAATTCCCTCTCCCCAGACACTTCCTCCAGCTCTTCCATGGGGACCTCAAGGTGCTCCATGGGGACCTCAAGGCGCTCCAGCATGTCCTCGGTCTTCCCCTATATCTCCCCCCAGAGGGACAGGACACGAGCACCTCCCGAGGGAGGTCCCTGGACTGACAGTCCAGGGGTACCACACGATGCTGCAGAGACGTGTCAACCAAGACAGTTCCACAACATTTAGCAACTTGAGGTACTCAGGGCAGATCTCATCCACCCCTGGTGCCTTGCCACCAAGCAGCTTCTTGATTACCTCGTGACCTCAGCACAGGAGATGGAAGGATCAGCTGCCGAGTCCTGAGCCTCAGCTTCCCCCACGGAAGGCGTGTCAGGGGGATTGAAGAGATATAATATTCCTTCCACCTCCCAATGTCATCCCCAGTCGAGATCAACAGCTCCTCTTCCCCACTGTAAACAGTGGTGGCGGGAAACTGCTTCCCCCTCCTGAGGCGCCAGTTGGTTTGCCATCATTTTTTCGAGGCCGACCTGACCAACTTCCATGGCCTCCCCGAACTTTTCCCAGACCCGAGCTTTTGCTTCCGCAGCTACTTGAGCCACAGTCCACTTGGCCTGCCTGTACCCATCGGCTGCCTCAGGAGTCCCCTGAACTAACCAGGCTTGGTAGGACTCCTTCAGCTTGACGGCATCCCTTACCTCTGGTGTCCACCACCAGGTTCGGGAATTGCCACCACGACAGGCAGCAGAGACCTTACGACCGCAGCTTCGGACAGCCGCGTTAACAGCGGAAGTGGAGAACATAGTCCACTCAGACTCAATGTCTCCAGCCTCCCTCGGGACCTGATCAAAGCTCTCCTGGAGGTGTGCGTGGAGGTGAGCCCGACAACTCGGGATCGCTCAATCTCCCGTACAAGCTCAGGCTCCAGCGTGGTGACATTCCATGTCCCCATACCTAGACTAATTGTCCAGAGATTGGGCCACCAGGGTCCTCGCCCATGACCACCACCCAAATCACATGGCACCATCCCGTTTATTTTTTGTGTGTGTGTGATGGAGAATGTAGAGCTGCAAAAATATAATCACACTAGAGCTGACTCATCTTCTGCTAATTACCAATTATTTTACCTTGATGCAACTGCTGACGTGTTGGTTTCTGGGTCACTGTCCCACATCTACGGAGGGAAAATAATTGTTGTGGAGCTTTACAGACCTGAAAAGGTCCAAAAAAAGAGGCTAATTTAAATTTTTGCCTGTGGCCGCTCTTGAAAGCAAGTTCTAGGCCTGATGGAAAGGAAATCTGATCTGTGACTTATATTTTTGTTTTTGCACAAGTTAATAATCTGAGCAGGTTGTATAAATGTGGCCATATTTTTCTGTAGTGTGGCACCACTGACATGATATTTGTGGCTTACTGAGCAACAAGAATACTTCAGTATTCAGTTGAAATCTAACACTTTATCCACGCAGTGAAGATTAATCTGTAGATCTCTATCTCTCCTCCCAGCAGGGTAAATCTGTAGCCACACTGGCAGCAGACACCAGCCGCCACCTGTTGGTGTGTTTCCTGTGGGTCATGAAGAATGCTGACAAGAACCTCATTCAGCGCTGGACTATAGAAATGCCTCCCTCACAGCTCAACAAGCTGCTGGAGCTGCTAACCATCTGCGTGTCCTGTTTTGAATACCGGGTCAGTATGTGTTCATTAATGATCTCATTTCCTACCATGGGTGCTAAAAGTTTTTGCAACAAATAATTTTAAGTTAATGTAAACATACAGTGCATACATGACTGCATATGTTTCACCTGGATGTATACAGTATATTCATCTCCATACTGAGACTACGAAGTACATAATCACTCCAAAATGTTCTGACTTTGTGACTGACTGTGAATTTTTCTAGGGGAAACAGTGCAGTGATAAAGTGAGCACCCAGGCCCTGCAGAAGTCCCAGCAGGCCAAGCTGCAGCTGGAAGAAGCCCTGTTGAGAGGCATGGGAGCGCGTGGTGAAATGATGAAACGAGTCGGAGGTTGTTACGTTTTACTGCACTCTGAGAAATACAACACAAAACTGCTTTTTTGTCATATTTAGAGTTGCAATTTGTTTTATTTGTTCAAGGTGGGCACATGAACCGCCTTATTTTATGACCATTTATGGTTTATATCTCTGAGCCATGGAAGATTAATGTCATCTTTTTTGTGATATTCAGCAAAATATACATGTAGAAAGTTTAACGAGCAAAAATGAAAAGAAGTAATAGAGTTAGTAAATGGTATTGTGGCTAATAACCATAGTCACTGCATGCGAGTCACTGAGTCCTGCCTCTGACTTTCAATCTGGTTAAGAAAAAACACTGTAGAATCCATCAAGGCAGAAAAAAAAATTACACAGTTTCAACAGTGATTTGAACTTTGAATGCAGGGTTTCCAAAAAAATACAAAAGTCAAATAATTTTAGTGCGTAATCTATTCTTAAATGTAAAAATGCGAGAAAAAAAAAGTTTACTGGTTTTTATTCCCTGACAGGAATGGACAGGACTCCGGGTCAGAGAGAGAACTTGCGCTGGAGGAAAGACCTGACTCAGTGGAGACAGACCAATGACAAACAGGACAAGTATGTCAAAGTGTTGTCTTGTCCTTATTTTCTGAATATTTAGATGTCTCTGTTTTTATTTAATTTGTCTACTCACTTCCTTTTTTTTTACACAGGACTAAAGCAGAGTTGGACCAGGAGGCTTTGATCAGCGGGAACTTAGCCACAGAGACCAACCTCATAGTGCTGGACCTCCTAGAGACCATTGTGCAGGCTAGAAAAAAACATATACACTATAATTAAGTAGCCCCTATGTACACTTTTTTAATATCTGCAAAGGGAACTCAAGGTCACCCATACATTATGTGCCATTAGGGAACTCATTAAAAGCTTCATTTGTGTTCCTGATAATTGATGACCTGATGCATTTCTCACTGTGTATAGAAATTAGCCATGCACAGCCTTCTCGCTCTGCAGTAATTTGTAAAGCACTAAGCCGCACCACAGAAACATGACTCATATTGAATTCATCAGTGGATAGCTTAATAACAGAGGAGAAAATTGGTTGAATGCAGGAATAATATGTTTTATCAAATTTACTGATAGAAATAGTACTCTGAGGTTCAGCCGAGTCAAAGCTAATTTAACACTTTTTTTGAAACATTCAGTGTTGCATCCCTGTTATTTCTCAGGTCATCTGCAGCTGATACGTTTTGTTTTTTTTTCCCCCTTTCTTATGTCCAGGCGGTGCCACTGGCTGAGTGTAAGGACAGCGTGGTGGGTGGAGTGCTGAAGGTGCTGCTTCACTCTCTTACCTGCAACCAGAGCACATTGTTCCTCTCTCACACCTTCAGCACACTCAGAGCACTGGTTGTCAAGGTACCTTTATTGTGTCATAGGTCTGTGTGTTAGCATGCGTAAACAGAGTCACTATCTGAGTCTAAATTTAACATCCCTCATTGTTAGCGCGGCTGTGCTGATGCAAGCAGGTGTGTTTATGTATGCTGACGGGGCTAATCTCCAATCACTTGCCGTTGCTCTAATACACAGAGGATACACACATTGTTAATTGCACCCACTGCAGGAAAGAGTTTTAGTTTCTCAAGTAAAAATACCACCTCAACACCAAGCATGCATTTGTGGAGGGGTTCAACTTCAAGTTGAAGGACTGTAATATTGTTAAGGAAAATGGCTTCACTGAAAATTTGAAGGCAACCCTTTATTATCTTCTACAGGCCATCGTCAAGATCTACAGTAATGACTGAAATGACCACGAAGCAACATTCTCATACTTTTGCATGTTTTTCTTAATATTTTTTTTCCATATTAATAATTCCATCATTTGGATTAGTAACAGATGTGAAACACATACATCGACCTGCTGTTATCTGTCTCTCTGATCCAGGGAGATTTCTGTATTTAGGAATGTGGAGTTAACTTGATTAATCATGATTTATTGATTTGAATTCACACCAAACCCAGTAATTATTTATGTTATCATTATTCTATAATATATAATATTACTATAATATAAAATTGTTATATTCGTCATCTGTCTCGGCAGCAAAGAAGTGATATTTTGGAATGCTGATTAATCACGATACATGTTATGTACCTAGATGTGGAATATTTATTCCACATCTAGGTACCCAATAACATTTTTAATTGTTGTTTGACATCTCTAGCATCCACATGTGTGATTTTCCTGTGTGCAGTTTGGAGACTTGCTGTTTGAGGAAGAAGCGGAACAATGTGCCGACCTGTGTCAGAAAGTTCTTCAGTACTGCAGCAGCCATGTGGACAAAAACAGGAGTCAAGCCTGTGCCACACTTTATCTCATCATGAGATACAGCTACAGCAATGCCAGTGTAAGTGCACACACATACACATGTGGAAACCATGTAATCACGTGAATATGATTCTCTGTTTACACTGCATTAGGTTATTCTTACACACACACACACACACACACACACACAAACAAACAAATGGGGAAATGTCAGGCATGCATTAGCTGTCAGATAAAACGTTATCTATCATCGGCGCTTTCTAAGGGAAAATGCATTTATGTCAGAATAAATTTAATTTAATTTGTGTGTGTGTGATTGTGTGTGTGTGTGTGTGTGTACTGGTACATACTATCATCTCTGTGTAAATGTGTGACTGCACTTGATTTAGAGCAAGAAAAAAAGGACATATTAAAATAGAAAACTCACGATAAAGATGGTGCAGGGTTTTTGCCAGAGGTGGAGCCCTGATGGAGGGATAAGAAAATCCTAAGGAGAGATGACTAATCTTGGGGGAGGTTTAGACATGAGATCTTTCATTTTCTTTGGTGGTTCGATATCACTCACTGCGCCTCGACATTGGTGTTTACAGCCTGTACACTTTAATGAAAGTCAGACAGCAGCCAATGGAGCACACACATCTTCAAAGACAGTTTTGACAGTTTAAGTATCTAGGCTGGCATTTTCTGCAACAAAATCCATGGTGTCAATTATTTTTAAAAATACAATATAATCCTTTGCGTTAATGGCATCTTCACGTATCTGCTTCCCATGCATCACATACAATCAAATATGCTGGTTTTTGCTTCTCCAGAACAGTGATCATCTGAATGTACATTATCATCTGAAGCAAACACAATCTGGTGTCTACTTCAAAATACCGTGTGGCACAGGGATGTGCCACAGCAGTACTTGTCAAGGAGTGGGGCTGCCCTCCCATGGGGCAAGGGGGTTGGAGTGCCAGGGGTAGCGTTAGGGGCTTCCAACGAAAAATGGCACGCAGGACATAAGTGTACCACTGCTGTAATGCTTGAATTCCTATTTTTAACCTTGTATAAAAATACGAGTTTTTTTATTTATGTTTTTTATTTTTATGTATTTATGGAACAAGCCTCCAGTCAGTAGGTGGCTGCAACTCATACAGATACGTATGTACAGATAACAATATACGTTATCAGGTTCTCAATAGTATTTCAATTCGTGGGGGCGTAGGTCGAGAGGGCGTAAAAACATATCTGTCACCAACAGCGGGCATGACAGAAAATAGTTAGCTCACCATCTGGGATGGCCTGAAGTACAGTAATTGAGCTTTATTAAAGCCAAATATAATCAAGTAATGGTCAAATTCATCCATACATCCGTCCAAGTTCATCCGCTTATCCATTACCGGGACGCGGGGGCAGCGGTTTCCATTACCCCCACCCAAATCACACTGCATCGTACCAACCCCCCTCAACCTTCCTGCGGGTGGTGATTCCACTGGAAGGTACCAACCGCCCTAACCAGGATTAGATCTTGCCCAGTAGGTGAACCCTGGGGTGGAACCCCAATGACACCAATGACAAAAAAAAAATGCCTCTGGGCCAAAGTGCCACCAGGCAAATTCATTAAATTGTTATCCATTGTTAGAATAAATACTTGTGTATCAACAACTTAAAAAATTGAACAGAAATCAAACTTCTTTATGAAGGACGAAAAAAACATAGTGAACAATGAAATAGAATAAAAATGATTGTACAAATTTGATTTAGTGCAAACTGGAACCTGAGAAAGTGCAGAGCTCCAGATAGATATGGTTAATCAATATGGACTCATCTACTTAACACAATGTAATAGTTCTGATATCACTTCCTTTCAGTTCAGGCAGAGTGATCCTGGGGGGAAAAAATAGAACTCTAGCACCTTCACTGTTATTTTTGTTGCTTCCGGTGCATCCCTGCTGTAACGGCAGAAGACTTATTTATTGTCCTTTCATTTGAATCAGATGAGTTTTACCTCAGAGAGCTGAATATGATCTGTGTGCATTACAAGGAAGTTCACCAATTTTGTGTAAAAAAACAAACAATACAAAATAAAAGGTGGCTGTTGGTTTTCTTGAAAGTAAGAAGAAGCACTAAAATGAATACTAATTGGTAAAAAGTTGAAGACAAAGGGGCATGAAATTAAGGAAAGGAGAAAGATATAGAGACAGAGGGTGGCGTGTTGACTTAAGCTATCATTTAGACCAGTGGTTCTCAAACTGTGGTATGAGCGCTCTCTAGTGGTACTGGGGGAAATTTATATTTTTACATTTACATTTTAAATTGAATAAATATGAAACATACCATGCACAGTGAATACAACATTTAAACATAAACATCTTTATAAACACTTCTAAACATCTCTCCTGTGTGGCGGAAGCTAATAGGGAAGGCCTATGCTGCGATATTCTAATGTTGCTCATCATGGTGATACTCAGAGAGCTCAATGTTTTCTCAGGTGATACATAGTATTACAAGTTTGAAAACCACTGATTTAGACTACTTTTCACATGTACACGCAAACACACACACACACACGGGTACACACTATGAGAGGTGATGGGTGGTTAGGCTCTGGCTCCATGCTCAGTTGAACAGAATGGGGCCGTAGAGATGATCCATGGGTGATTATGTCTCCGCTAATGGAAGACCATTTCCTGCTTTGCTGGTCATGCTGGAGATAGATGGGAGTTGGCACACACATACACAGAAGCACAATCTCTCTCTCACATACACATTATTATTACTGCTAAAGATGGAAGGCTGTTTGTCAGGCCTGTTGTTCCTGACAGTGTAAATAGATAGACAAGGAACAGGGAGGGATGATGGGACCACATTTGTGGAGAGAACACGGATATTGATTTCAAGCTGATTTTTAAATTTGTAAAGTCAAATGTCCCGTACCAGTCTTCAGAGTCCCCTGTTAAAACTGAACTGACCAGAAGAGGAGTTCAGGCCAGGGAGGAATACAGGGTTTCACTCTTATCATCATCCTGATGGCTAATGAGTGTCAAAACTTCTATCCAGGATAAAACTAACAAGATCTTTGAGCACATCAGATGAACAGCCTTTAAAGATTAACTTCTACAGCAGAACAGAAACACATTTATAGTATTAAGGAGGGTGACAGTATAATGGTCCAACAAGGCATGTTCCTCTGACAGATGTTAAAAATGGCTGATATCAGGATGTCCTGCCAGTGGCTGAACTGAAGGACAGAACTCTTATTATGGTTACATAAGAACAGACCAGCAGTCAAAAACCTGTAGGTGTTCGGGTCCACACCAGCAAAAGAATCTCAGGCCCAGGTTGTTTAAAGGTCTGTGAAGTTCTATATCCAGGTGGCAGTGACATACCCCTTAAAAAACTTCTTTTTGTTTTGGAGGAGACAAAAGGGGGTTGAAGGGTATACAATAGCTGCCTTTCTTGAACCTAGTGGTTCTGTTATCCAGTTTGATCTAAATAATTTTCCAACTACTTCCAATAAAATTAGTACAGGGGTCCTCGACTTTTATTTGAATTCTGTTCCTACACTGAGTAACTTGATTTATGCTAAGTAAGAGCTCTGTACGTACAGCAGTGGTTCTCAATAATTTTCTGTCATGCCCCCCTTGGGGACAAAAATGCTTTAACGCCTCACCCCCATGACCCACACCCCCATAAATTTAAATACAGTGGAACCTTAAGATACGACCATAATCTGTTCCAGGACCTAGCTTGTAAGTCAAGGTGCTCATATCTTGAACCTCTAAACAACTCCTTTATTAGTGCTAATAACAATGGAAAAAAAACATTTTGCTATATTGACATACACACACAAAAATGATAGTATATAAGAATCCCTGTGATATAAAATAAAATTTGGTTTTAGTTCTTACCTTCAGTAACTGGAGACTTGTAATCATTCAGCATTACAGCAATGGTACACTTATGTCCAGCATGCCATATTCCATTGGAAGGCGCTCACGCGCCCTCTGGGCACACCTCTCCGCAACATAAGTACCTATGTCCCCACCAACGCTAACACAGTGGTAACATGATAATCTAGGACAAAGAAACATCAGAAGAGTCTGCGTCAGAATGATGAAACAACACTTTCTTAAGAAATTTATGGCAGACGGCAACATAACCGTGGAAGGTTGTTGTAAACCGAGGACTCCTGTGGCGGGCAGTGTCCTTGCACTTGATCACACCACCATACACTTGTGTCTCGAAATTAATATCCAACTTATTTAATTATTCTGTGAATTATTACAAGCGACAAAATGTCTTTTTTTTTTATTCTTTAAAAAAACGACTGATACTTATATGTGAAACGCTGACACTTATTGATGTCACTTTTGTCTCCGACAGAACTTCTCAAGAGTGAAGATGCAGGTCACCATGTCTCTGGCCTCACTGGTGGGCAAGTCCTCAGACTTCCAGGAAGAATACCTCCGTCGCTCCCTACGTACTATACTGGCTTATGCTGAGGAGGACACTGAGATGCAAAACACACAGCTGCCATCGCAAGTATGAAATAAAACACACGTTCACATCAGAAATATGAAAACTATTACTGCTGCTCCTACTGTATTACATGGCTGACTTTGTTTAAAACCAGATGCCTGTGTGTGTGTGTGTGTGTTTCTCTCCAGGTGGATGAACTCCTCAGAAATTTGAACAGTATTCTATCAGACACAGTGAAAATGAGGGAATTCCAGGAAGACCCTGAAATGCTGATGGACCTCATGTACAGGTGTGACAAGTTTTGTCCATACATTATGGTCTTCCTGTGTGTCTCTCTCTTCATCTCAACGTCTTTCTTCTCTCTTCACTGTGGTTTCTGTTCCTGCTGCTGTTTCTCATTTCTCTGTGGTCTGGGCTGTTTTGCCTCTATTTGCTGCCTTCTCTGTGGTTACCATGTGGTTCGTGTGCACTAAGATAAATGACATGTAAAAGTCTGGCATAAGGGCTAAAATGCTAATATGTTTTAAGACTTTACCATGTCATTTAGTGGCATTGGGAAGAGGCAGAAGTATTATGATAATATAAACAAATATTTTATAATTTGGACAACTTTGGCAGGCCAGAATAAAAAGCCCATATCTGGCCTCCGGGCCATAGTTTGCTCATGCCTGTAATAGATAGTCTGGTCTAGTTTGCAGGAAATCTATCTTTTTACCTGTACCTCATAACTACTTCTGTACTTTTGTGAACATTTGCTATCCTATGTATGTTGTAACTCAATCATCTTCAAGAGAATACTCTCAATCTCTGCTCAGTCCTCAAATATGCAGTTCAATAAAAGGAAAAAGGAAACTGAGGTCTAATAACCTTTTGCTCCTCAGGATAGCGAAGGGCTATCAGACATCCCCTGACCTCCGACTGACCTGGCTGCAGAACATGGCAGAGAAGCACATCAACAGGAAGTGCTACACTGAGTCAGCCATGTGTCTAATCCACGCTGCCGCCCTGGTGGCGGAGTACCTCAGCATGCTGGAGGACCACAAGTACCTGCCTGTGGGGAGTGTCACCTTCCAGGTAGAAACTACATGTGCAGACATCAAGGGATGGAAAAGTAAATTTGGGACTTAGTGAAAGAAAAACAACAATTTCACCAAGACAAAATAACCATCAGTGTTTGTTTGTTGTGGTTCCTGTCAGTTAGCAAACCCTCTATTACACAACACACCACAGCTCACATTTACCCTCAGACTGTTTCCATTTTGATGTCTAGAGGGGGGGAGCTGTGATCTCATAATATAAACATAAATATGGTCCACTATTGATTACAATGTCTTTCAATATGGAAAGGGGAAAAGGACAACTATGCAGATGCTGTGAGAACATCTTGTCTTCAGTTGAAGAACAGCAACAGCACTGTTGTTATTGATGAGCTGTGCCACAGAGAGTAATGTTTCGTCACTTGGGTTCAGGACATTCTAACCTGCAGCAGTCGGCAGGTCATTGATTTCATCCAATTGGTTTCCCTTTTAGTTTTCCGACGTAGGACATCTCCATCTATAGTCCAGTGATTGATTAAGAGGCTTAATTAATTGATCAGAAGACTGATTTCCTCCCCAGAACATCTCCCCCAATGTGCTGGAGGAGTCTGCCGTGTCGGATGACATCCTGTCCCCAGATGAGGACGGCGTGTGTTCAGGACGCTACTTCACAGAGAGTGGTCTGGTGGGACTTTTGGAGCAGGCGGCTGAGCTTTTCAGCAACGTGAGACAATGTCCTGCATTCACATTCGTGTTGGGGCTAAAAAAAAAGAATTGACATTTGGAACAGCGTTTTTGAGCCTGGTTCTTAAAACCTGCTGGTTTTCCAACTCCAAAAAGAAACTCTATAACATCACTATTTCACATTGTGTGTTCTTAAAGAGTGTGGAGTTGTGTTCACACTTTTGACAGATGTGCCACGCAAAGGGCACAATTAGTATGAGTGGCTCATCCTGTGTCCCACTCTCATACCAAAAAATATATTGTTTACAGGCTGACCTTCCCATTTTTATGTACCATAAGCAGTTTTTTTTTAAAAAAAGTCTCTGCAAGTTTGGAAGCTCATTATTCTGCCATGATATGAGAAATTAGTACAAGTCAAGTTGTTTTAGGTACAAATAAATTACAGTTTGAAGTAAACCCTGGGACTTGCCAATAAAAATGTCTACATACTGTCTCTTAGAGACAGTTTTAAAGAAATATACGGCAGTCTTTCCAAAACATGGACTGTATATATTCTGAAGTGTCACTTAAAATTTAAAAAAAATATTAAAATGTTCATAACCTTTTTTATATATATGACCATATGCTGGCAGGCAAAACTGTACAAAAAGGAAACTTTGTCCTCATAATATTCTTCACTCACAGTAAATTAGTATTTATAACGTAAGTGTCCCTTCTAATGTCTGTGGTTTAGGGTGGTCTTTACGAGGCAGTAAATGATGTCTACAAGATCATCATACCTATCCTGGAGGCTCACAGAGATTTCAGGAAACTTGCATCAACTCACGACAAACTTCAAAAAGCCTTTGACACCGTTATTCAGAAGGTAATAATTACACGACAAAGTAGAATCAATAAAACATTCAAATTAAATATGACTTTTAATGGAATATATGTATGCACCTAAAATAGTACATAAATATACTCAAATTTTTTACTATTCTGTATGTGTCAGAATAAAAAGCATTTTATACTGATAGCTACTGATTACCATATTTTCATTAAAAATATTCTGTTTCTCTTCAGGGCCATAAAAGAATGTTTGGAACCTACTTCCGTGTGGGTTTTTATGGGGCTCAGTTTGGTGACCTGGATGAACGAGAATTCATTTACAAGGAGCCGGGCATCACACATCTGCCCGAGATTTCACACAGACTGGAGGTAAAAAAAAGGAAAATGGCATTTGGTTGGATGTGCCTGTTTTGAATTGTTGAATTGCTGTAGAATGAAGATAATGGGAGCGTGGGCAGACTAATGAAACCTGACCATCTCCACAAGGAAAAGAAAGAAAAGAAAATAAACTTTTGGCAGCAATAACAGTTTTTCCTTTGTTTTTAGTCAAACATTTAGAGAACTTGACACTATATACATCTTTAAAAAAAGGAGAAGGCTACAACGTGACAAGGATGTAATTTTTACAATATCTCGCAATGGTAATTATTAAAGGCACATTTTCTACTGTTCTTAAGAACTTCTACAGTCAGTGCATCGGTGACGACACACTGGTGATGATCAAGGACTCAACGCCAGTGGACAGAAAACAACTCAACCCTAATAAGGTACCCATACTGTCACACTTCTGTTTGGAAAACGGCAAAAATATCTTTATAAAATGTATTATTTTAAAAAAATATACTATGTAAGAAACAAAAAATATCAGGAAAGCATGACTCCCCTGCAGATGGTGTTGTTGAGACAGTTTAACTGTACTGATTCAAAGGTGCTGATCATGAAAACAACATCATTGTTTTGTTTTGAATTGAGAGCCTGAGTGATATTTGACCAGCTACTGATCTGTTTGATGCAGCAACATTGAGACAAAACGTACTTTACCAGTTGTGAAGTTAAACGTGGAACGAGCGGGGGAATTCTAATGTTGGTCATCATGGTGGTACTCAGAGAACTCAATGTTTTTTCAGGTGGTACAGAGTATACAAAGTTTGAAAACCACTGGTCTAGTAGTTAAACCATTGGGTTTGCGGTTTGACTCTGGACCACAGCAGGATTGCGATCTGTTAAGCAAGCACCAGACTCCACATGTGCCCCCATTGCATTGTGTTCTGGTTTTCATCACAGGAATGTTTTACATTTAGGCTTATTGGGGAGTAAAATAAAAAACATAGAATAAATATTGAAATGTTCTGTAATATTTATTCTGACAAAAAAAAGCACTTAAACAATAAAACGAATAATAAGTCTTCATTTATAAGGTGACTCTGCCTCCTCCCCCCAAACATCCAGAAAAATCCAGAATAAGTTGGGAAAATCCCTTTAAATGAACTCACTGCTTCTTACTTATTTTGTTTTAAATGACAAAAAAAATGACATTTGTTCAGATTGCACAATGTTTTCAATTATAATACTTCGCATTGAATTATGTAATTATGTAAAAAATACCCTGGTGTAATACTATAATAATCAGATGTCATACATTGAAAGGAACATTAATCAAAAAGTCACAAGACAATGGAGACATAAGATTTGTCTGTACAATTTGGAAATTGTGCGGCAGTCCTAAAAATAAATATCAGTCCAAAGGGTAAGAATGCAAATCAGAACCATCCTCTGATGGCTGGGAATTACTTTAAAATGCACTTTAAAAAAGTGGAGTGAAGTCTAAAGCACAGCATTATCATTAAATTGACCACCCAAAAAACCCTCTGAACCACCACTTTTCTTCAGGCTTACATCCAAATTACTTACGTGGAGCCCTACTTTGACGACTATGAGATGAAAGACCGGCTGACAAACTTTGAGAAGAATTTCAACCTGCGGCGCTTCATGTACACCACACCCTTCACCAAAAGCGGACGTCCTCGGGGTGAACTTCAAGAGCAATACAAGAGGAAGACCATCCTCACCACCATGCACGCCTTCCCCTATGTCAAGACTCGCATTAACGTCATCCAAAAGGAGGAGGTAAAGGTGGTGTTGGGACATTTTCCAGTTCTGGTTTTTAGAGCTTATCACATTTGAGAGTTTTTATAATATTGTCTGTTTTTTTTGTTTGCAGTTTGACCTGACTCCTATTGAAGTGGCCATAGAAGACATGCAGAAAAAGACCAGAGAACTTGCTGTGGCCACACACAGGGAACAGCCTGATGCTAAGATGTTGCAGATGCTGCTGCAAGGCTCAGTGGGAACCACTGTCAACCAGGTAATGTTCCAGCTTTGCGGGAGTTTCTGTGAATAAAGGCACTGCCGCTGTATTTTTACGCTCCCGTCTGTCCGCTTTCATTACATCTGAATGGATCTTAGACTTCATGTTTAACCAAAAGCAGCTGTTCTCTTAAAATGATTCTGTTTATGCTGCTTTATTGTTTCCCCTTTTAATGTGCAAACCAGAATAATTTAGTTCAATTTATCTTTATCACATTTACAGTGCCATTGTAGCCACAGTGGGCAGGTGGGAGACATGACAGTGATGGCACATCAAAGCCCTGGCCCCATCCATAACCCTGAACCTTTTTCTGCTGCTCCTCTAATTTAGTTAAAATGTCAATTCATGGCCCCTCTTCCTTTCATGTCTCTGCTTCACACCATACTGAACCGGAGGTCTCTTTGATCTGATAGTTTCCAGGTCCTGCCAGCGTGCGCTGAATGCTGCAGTAATGACGAAAATAGACACATTGTCTCTCGCTCTCTCATCCCTCCCTCCTCCTGCTCTCTGCCTTATCGAACTCTGTCTTATCTGACAGGACCTTCGCACCAACCTGATGGTTGTACATTTAACACTGATGCTCAGCCTTTCTGTAAAGAGATGTAAACTCATTTCAGGGTTTTTTCATGCATTTGTGTGGCTCTGCAGCTCCATTACAGAGAGCCGAAGCCCAGACCCTGTGCGTTTATGATGCTAATCAGCACTGTTTAACCGCGCCTGCCACAACGCGATGCTACAAGAGTGTGGTTTTTATGATGAGTATAGGTTAAGATGGCTGCATCCTAAACTTGGCAAATGGAAGCCAAATGGTGCAGGCTCAGCTGTGACATTAGCCATACACAAGTCTAATCACGTGTTCTTCTCTGATCTGATCCCTTCCTCATGGTCGACTTCACCCCCCCAGTACTCCTGTTAACCAATCACTTCCCCTTGTCTGAATGAAAAACACTCTCGTCCCCCCTCCGTTTTTGACTCTCAAATGCTTCCCTTCTTACCTTCTCTCCTACCTTCCTTCCTCCACTCAGTTCTGCTTTCTCTGTCTTTGTCTAACTTTGTTTCTTTTGTTTTTATCCCTTCCCGCATCACCCTACCCTGCTCCCTCCTGTTTTAGGGCCCATTGGAGGTGGCCCAGGTCTTCCTGAATGAGATCCCAGCAGACCCTAAGCTCTTCCGCCACCACAATAAACTACGTCTGTGTTTCAAAGAGTTTATAATGAGGTAAGAAGCTTGAAAAAAACCTTTCTCATATTATTTCCTTTTTTTTCATATTTAAACATATTTCTCTCTCTTAACAGCTATAAAGGCAGAACAATACTCTAGGACTAAACCTACAAACCTTCTTGCTCTACGATTTAAAAATGAAAAAAAAAAAAGTTCTTATTTGGTAAAACACTAAAACTTTACACTGTAATTTTCAGTAGAATTGCAAAAAACATTACACCATTTCAAGGCCAAACCTGTGGAGGAGACCGGTTTTGAGTTTGTGCCTAAGTTGGTGCATTGGCGTAAATGTGCATGTGTTTGATTTCATCTCCTGGGCATGTGCTTCCAAAAGGTGGTTTTCATTTTTTATCCCCCATGTCATATCCCTGCAGCCTTGATTGCCGCAGCCAGGCTGGAAAATATTTACTGTAACTGATAAATAAACAGAAAGGTTTTCTGTTCACTGGATCCAGTCAAGTTCGCACCAGACCCACTGAACAGCAGCCACATTGACAGTCATTTTAAAAGAATCTGCTGAGGAAGGCACTGTTTTCTTATATACCAGTATTTAATAATGATTGATCAGAGGGTCTCATGTCACACACGCTCGTCTCTGGTCCAAGTTACCATGTCATGTGTTGTGTAGCTTTTTGTTAACGCCGCCAGGGAAGGGATGTACTGGAATAATGTTATTTGAAAAAACAGAGAAGAAAAAGTGGAGATGGACATTCTACTCTTTTGTCACCTGCATTTTTATCAAATTGTATTCAACAAATCCTACAATGTGATTTGTGTGATTACACTAGAATTTATTAGGGTTGTCCAAACAATTTATTTTACAAACCGATACAAGTATGGATATTTTCATTTATGTACTTGTTGCAGTGGACTGTGGCATACAGTGAACAGGAAGGCAGTGTCCTCTAGCAGCTGTCAGTGTTAAAATAACAAACGTGTAAATTTTCAGTGGTATAGGAGTAGCAGATATTGGTACACAAGTTTAGAGTGCCCTCTAGCGGTTGCATAAGGCGCACTTTATCCTTTGAAAGTGCAAGTGAATTATTTGTCATTGTGACACAGCACACTGCGAACACAACGAAATGTGACCTCTGTTTTTAAGCCATCACCAAAGGGAACTGTGGGCAGCTTATAAGCATCCATGGAGCAGTGTGTGGGGATGGTGCCATGCTCAAGGCACCTCAGTGGTAACTTGGCAGCTGGTGGACTCGAACCACGAGCCTTCCGTACTCAAGTCTGCTTCCTTAATCACTAAGCCACCACTGCCCTTCTGGGCTGGTTCTTTAGCTGGGTTTGCGACTTATACATTAAAATATATAATTTCACATTTGTTATTGCCACACTAACAGCCGCTAGAGGGCACTCTAGACTTGTGTCTAGTGTATCTGCTACACCAGTACCACTGAAAATGTATATGTTCATTGTTTTCACACAGACAGCCGCTAGAGGGCACTGGTGCGACTTAGACTCCAGAGAGACTTATGTGCTTTTTTCTTTTTCATTATGCATTTTTTGGCTGTTGTGACTTGTACTCTGGAGCGACTTATAGTCTGGAAAATAAGGTAATATATTGATCCCTTATTTATCCCACAATCAGGAATTGCACAGTGTGTCTTTGTACTTCACATAGGTTTCCACTGGAGGTGCCAGTAAGTAGGTGGCTCCTCTGGGGCTTGCACCCAGGACCAGTACCTGTGTGTAAAGCAGATGTGTAAGGAAGTGTGATAACCACTAAGGTGTTTACCTGATTTTACCTCACCTTGGCTTTTACACTTTGTAGGTGTGGTGAAGCAGTTGAGAAAAACAAGCATCTGATCACATTGGACCAGAAGGAATACCAGCTGGAGCTGAAGAAGAACTACAACCGCCTGAGAGAGAGCCTGAGGCCAATGCTGGAGAGGAAGATTCCTGAACTCTACAAACCCATCATCAGACCTCAACTACAGAATAGGTAAACACTTCCTCCAGGTCAACTGTATTGTGGTGTTTTGACAAGAGACAGAGACAATAGACCAACCTAAAAACAAAAAATTGTAAAAGCTGTAATTGAGTGCTAAAATCAGGAAAAGAATGTACATTTTTCCAAAAACGTGAAATGAGCTGTTAGACATCATATTTTCACTTTGCCATTATCATACCTCATTGTCTCTGTTGTTCTTCTTGTCCTTCCTTCTTGCTCTCCTCTCGCAGGGATTCCTTTAAACGCCTAAGTTTCCGCAGAGCTCAGGAGGACAATTCCTGAGATGCTCCTGTCTCTTGGACACCGTGTTCCAGGGGGACGGAGAATGAGACTGTCGCACAACCTGGTGAGGAGAAGAGAAGATGGAGAGAAAAAAGAATGGATTGTGTATGTGTGTGTCTGCATATGTGTGTGTGTGTGTCTGTGTGTGTGTGTGTGTGTGAGAGAGAGAGAGAGAGAGATGTTACAGGTAGGTTTGGCAAAAGCAGCGGGAAACAGAAAAACCTGAGCACAGTGAAGCCTTTTAATGGCTCACAGTAAAACCTGATGATCTTCTGGGTCTGTCTTTTATATAAATCTATATATGTAATTGCAAGTCCTAATATAGCTGCAGTATTTTCCTCCAGGTTGTTTAAAAAGCAGAATCCTCTTCGGGGTCCTTGCTGGCCTTGGGCCTGTGTGATCGCCCGTAATTATTTTGTCCTGTTTGTGTGTAAATATTTTAATAAATGAGTGTGTGTTTATTTAGATAATATGTGGTGTGGAAGATTCCAGCGCCACGTTGTGGGCACTTTGTACTCAGTCATGATAAATGATTCCACCACATGCTGGAGAGCCTGTGAATTTTATGGTAAAAAGTGGAGTTGTCCCAAATTTTGGTTTTTTAAAGTACTGATACAAGTATGAGAATTTTCATATGCTGGGTTTAAACCAGTACTTCTCAAATAGTGGGGTAGGCCCACCTGGGGGTGCGCGGGAATATAATTGATAACCACTGGGTTTAAACAAAATATTCAATGAACTGGAACACTGTCAGTGTTATATAGGTGGTGTAGATCGGAAGGACACAGGCTGATTTTGACTAAAAGTAGAAATATTTGAATCAAGTATCGGCTTGGATAACGATACCAGAATTCGTATTGATGCATACAATCAATGGTACAATTAAGACGTAGACACTTGTTAACTCTTATGGCCAGTCTTGTCGAATTGTGCCCCAGTGTGTACCTAATAAGTGTTTAAATTATAAGGATCTGCCAGATTTAATGAAACCATTCTTTAAATTCACATGTACATACCAGAGATTAAGTAAGATGTTTACAGAGATATATGTATTTTTAGATCGATAATAGAAATAATAATAGTATTTAGAAATGAAGAAAAATGTGACATTTTTCACACCGCAGCTGTGTTTCGCAATGTAAATCATGTTTACTATATCTTTACTCAAAATGTCTGAATACATTCCAGGAACACATCTTTTACTGCTTTTTGGAGTATTAATGGTGTCAACCTGATTTATTTCACACTCATTTTTAAGTATTGTGTTGCAACTCCTTACTGTGTTGTCAGTGGTGTAAATCTAACAGTGTTTCATAAGTGGGTATACATCTGTTTAAATGTTTTAAAATTAGTGAATAATTTGATTAAACATCGACAGCTTATGTATTAATTATTGATCCAAATGTAAACCCATTTATGAAACTGGCCGAATTTTGCTGAGACTTGGTGATGTATGATGTATGTGGGATGTGTTCATCCACTGGAGAGTAGAATCCATGACTTGTTTTTGATGTTAAAAACCTATTGAGTTTTACTGATTGCAGAAATGTCAATAAATGCAATTGAAGCACATGAAAAAAACTAATATATTGTTCGTGTTTAAATGTTTATTGTGGAGTTATGGTGCAACAGAGAATTAATATAATTATTTTAAAAACTGAAATCTAGTTTTAATAGACTAAGAGGCGAAAAGAGAAGCTTTTTTTGTCTTCCCTGATTAACAATTCTGTTTATCAAAAAAAGTAATTATAAACATTTCAAAAGGGTTTTGATAGGAACAGGTTTATTGGTATATTTTAAAAGTTGTTCTCACAGTGTCTTCTCAGCATTGATTTTATGAATAGGAAAACTGTATTCAATCCTAAGTTTACGAAATTTGGTAACATGAGCAGTCAGATGAACATAGAAATGCATACAAATGCATTTTAAGGTTAAAGTCTAAATAAATAGCTATATAATAAACAATAACTGTGGGATCTAGAAGTACATAAGATTATGTATATAAATAATGAAAGTGAATATGAAAACGCTATTGTCCCATTGCTGACGGGGTAAAGCACATAAATTCATATTCAGGGCCAGGTTTTATTATTATTATTTTGCAGACAGAGATGTACAGAGATTTTATTTAATTTTGCAGGAGGAAGTTAGTTTGAAGCTTACTATATTAGGATATGTCTTTACTTATACATACAATATACATACAAATTATACATACAATTACCGCTATTAATCATTGTTATTAAGAGTTTGAATAATTTATTTAGAACACGCCTTTTTAATCTTTTAATGTATCTGGTAAAAAAAAAAAAAAAATTGAGAAAACATTGAGCTCTCTGAGTACCACCATGATGACCAACATTAGAATCACCCTGATCGTTCCACGTTCAACTTGCAAGTGATCCCATGATTCCATGCTGTCTGTGCTTACATGAGCAAGTAAATTCTGTTAACAAAAAGACCAGACGTGCTATTTCATAATCTCACAAGTAGCTACATATTTCTGTCAGATGTATTCAATTGAAAATGTAAATGTGAAAATGTGAACTTTCCCCATGTCCCACTAGAGAGGGCTGGTGTACCACAGTTTGAGAACCACTACTCTAAAGTATATTAGTAACATAAGTATTCAGGATTGGACAGATTGACAGATGAGGTCAGACAGGAGTCCCCATGGACTATGTTGTTTGCAGATGACATTGTGATCTGTAGTGAGAGTAGGCAGCAGCTAGAAGATAATCCTAGACAGGTGGAGGTTTGCACTAGAAAGAAGAGGAATGAAGGCCAGTCGTAGCAAGACAGAGTACATGTGTGTAAACGAAAGGCAGAACAGTGAAATAGTGAGGTCACAAGAAGCAGAGGTGGTGAAGGTGCAGGAGTTTAGGTACTTAGGATCAACTGTTCAGAGCAGAGGAGACTGTGGAAGAGAGGTGAAGAATAGAGTATAGGCAGGATGGAACAGCTGGAGAAAAGTGTCAGGAGTGATCTGTCACAGAAGAGTGTCAGCTAAGGTGAAGGGAAAGGTTTACAGGACGGGGGTGAGACCAGCCCTGATGGATGGTTTAGAGACGGGAGCCATGAAAAGGCTAGAGAAGCCAGATTGAGATGGTTTGGACGTGTGCAGAGGAGGGACAATGGATACATTAGTAAAAGAATGTTAGAGATGGAGCTACCTGGTAGGAGAAAGAGAGGAAGGCCAAAGAAGAGATATATGGATGCAGTGAGGGAGGACATGCAGATAGTTGGAGTCAGAGTAGAAGAGTAGAAGATGCCTCTGCATCTTCTACTCAGGGAGAGATGGAAATTACTGATTCGCTGTGGCAACCCCTGAAAAAGGGACAAAGCCGAAAGAAAAAGAAGTGTTCAGAATTGTAGGACAGTGATCTGTGATAGAAGAGTGTCAGCTAAGGTGAAGGGAATGGTTTACAGGACGGTGGTGAGACCAGCTATGATGTATGGTTTAGAGCAGGGGTTGGGAACCTTTTCAGCAGAGAGCCAAAAAAGTTACATATTTAAAACTGTATTTCTGTGAGAGCCATACAATTATTTTTTTTTACCTCTAAATACAACAAATGTGTGAATTTTAATATAATAAGTTTATATTATTAAAGTATTAAAAAAGGTATTAAAGTTTTTTGTTGTTGTTGTTTATATTACTGTTGTTATACTATCCATACATAAAATACTTTTTACCATTAATGCGACTTCTGTTGCTGCATGGTTTTGATGCGATTGGCTGCAGGGCAAAAAAATTAATGTATGGATTCAAATGTGTAACAGAGTTATAAATATATGGTTCCACTTGCCATACAACAGAGTTTAATACACAGCACATAAGAAAAACATTAATTTATCGTATTAAATTGTCATTAAATGCAACACAACTGCTGATTAGAGTCGTGAACCAGGGAGCAACAGTCGGGCTCTTGGTCCTTATGGTATGTGAAAGTGAAAGTGAATTATTTGTCATTGTGACACAGTACACAATGCACACACAATGAAATGTGACCCCTGTTTTTAACCCATCACCAAAGTGAACAGTGGGCAGCTTATAAGCGTCCGGTGAGCAGTGTGTGAGGTCCACATGTTAGGTCTGTCATTAATTAATTTGATTATATTAATTTTATCATTACCTGTACTGTTATTTACTTTATATTTTCAGCGTCAGACCTGTGTGTGTGTTGCTCCAAAATGGATTGACTTTGTTTTCACTTTTTATGCCAGAAATAAAAGATGATGTACCAGACGAACCAAGCTGATGCTTTTACAGTAAATTATTTAACACAACACAAAAAGAGTACACTGCTGCGGCAAATACACAGGAATGTTTTTTAAAGATTATTTTAACACTATGATTTCTGTAACGTTTTACTTGAATATCAGCGAAATGATTTATTATTTATTGTGTTCATAAGTACCAGGTAGGAGAAAAAGAAGAAGGCCAAAGAGGATATTTATGGATACAGTGATGAGGAGATTTATGGATACAGTGATGAGGAGATTTATGGATACAGTGATGAGGAGATTTATGGATACAGTGATGAGGAGATTTATGGATACAGTGATGAGGACATGCAGATAGTTGGAGTCAGAGTAGAAGATACAGAGAACAGGGTGATATGGAAAACAACGATTCGCTGTGGTAACCCCTGAAAAAAAAGGAACCAGCCGAAAGGAAAAGAAGACGTTCAAGAACTACAACCTGCGTCGTAGTCAATTTGACGTCATCACTGCGCGACGTCAACTTCACGGATGCAGGTTTGTTTGGTTTCTTGATGTTCATGCTAGTTTATTTTCTTTTTTAACACACCGTTAAACTGACTGTTTTTTGACAGGGGCTGCGTTGTATCAAACGTGGAGAAGAAGCACATTTATTGTTTAACGCCGACATTTAAGAGTTCATTAAAGGTTAGTCCGAACTGTGATGTTAAAGTCACGCTGAAAAGTTTCATCCGTACGTGCATCGTGTGTCTCCGCGGTGTCGTTTATTAACCATCACGTTTTTTTCCGCTGTGAAGATGTAGTTGGCACATTTCACATGCACATTTCAAACGGTTTCACTCTGAACTCTCCTGTGGTTCAACTATCGCAGTGCCATGCGACCGGAAGTGTTAGAGTTAACATTTCCTGCGATAATCTTCTGGTAGTCTATTTGGAAACGCTTGGTTTTCCTCTTAAATAGATCCGATATAATTTGTCTGCCGGTTAAATACAGCTGAAGAATCAAAGTGTAGAAAATTCTGCTCGTTTTCTAAGGTGTTTCCCACATGCTGTAAGCGGACCACATTTATTTTTAAAAGAAGTTTTCTTAAATCTGTTTTATTTATCAAACAGTGATGTTACAATCGATGTCCTTTTTGTCTTTATTTTCCTTATTGGAAGTTCTGTACAAATGTTTGACAATCACGCTGTAGTGTGTCCTCTCCCAGCCTGTCTTTGCTGGTAAATATCTGTTTGTTTGGTTCTTTGCATGGACCCTGGTCTTTACATCACATATTTTCTATGTTGTTTCTGTCTGGTGTTTGTACAGGCCAGTTCCTGTCACATTTACTACATTTCCTAGTTTCGGATGCACCGACGCAATCCATAACGCATTTCAATGTAAGGTTGCTGTTCTTTGGGTCAGAAAGTGTTAATTTTTATTTTATTTTATAGTCTTTATTGTCATTATAACACAGGGATAAAACGAAACTGAGCAGGGATAAAACGAACCCATCACCAAGGTGAGCAGTGGAGCAGGGAGCAGTGTGTGGGGATGGTGCCATGTTCAGAGCACCTCAGTGGTAACTTGGCAGCTGGTGGATTCGAACCTGAAGCCTTCGACCCAAGTCCTCTTCCTTAAACACTAGGCCACCACTGCCCTGTTGTATAATCATCTTTATACTATTATCTGACCAAAACATTTTAAAGTCAAGTTTTTTTAAAAAAAACTTTTTAAAACTACATGCATACTGTACATTTCCTGAAGCTATCTATCTATCTATCTATCTACCTATCTATCTATCTATCTAGCTATCTAGCTATCTAATCTAGCTATCTATCCATCTCCGTCTCCGTCTGTCTGTCTGTCTGTCTGTCCGTCCGTCTCTATCTATCTATCTATCTATCTATCTATTTATCTATCTATCTATCTATCTATCTATCTATCTAATGTACGGACAGATATCCGTCATCATATACTGTATCATATTGTATAAAATGTTTATTATTCTGTATCTCTAATGTGTCTTTTTTCACTGTGTAATTCTATTGAACTTAGCCTCTTAGCTTCATATAAAGTTTGATCGTGTAAAACAGGGCTGTTTTTTTACTGGATGTATCCAACAGTTTATACCAGCAGTTAACCTTGCTGTTAACCCTAAGGTGTTAAGCTGGTTGGTCAATAAAGGTGCAATAAAATTTGAATCTACTGGTGAAACACACACTAAAATTATGAATACTTAAAAGTCAGAGATGTTTTTTCCTAAACTTGTTAAATTTTATAGGATCTGTTTTTATAGCATTTATTTTTGATGCTTGACAATTGCTGTCCGCCCAACCTCCTCTTGAAAAATAACGTGTGTTACGTTATTGTGCACTCAGTCACCTCCTTGGATATATTTTGTACCATAAATGGCAATTACACCCCTGTAATGCGAATGCTGTGTCACGCCACGGGCATGCTAAATGGGAGGATTATGACGACACTAAACTGTCACTACTGAAGCACAAACATAATGAGGCCTTATTTTTGCTCTTCAGGTTTCATCATCCTCACTCTGATGCCGTTAGTGTAACATGGAGCCGGAAGACGAACTGAATCCTGACAAGGACGACCTGCCCTTACGAGCCAATACTAACCACATACTTGTCAAACATTATGTACTGGACCTGAGTGTTCATTTCGATAGAGAGGTCATCAGTGGAAATATCGTTATGTTTCTGGAGCCTTGCTGTGAAACAAGAGCTATGTCCAAGGATGGAACTGAAGCTGTTGATGCAGCCTCAGTGGGTGAGGTAAGTCAGGATGAGTTTGTGTGCAAATTTAATCATGGAAATCTAATGAAGCATGGAACAAAAGGAACTGTGACAAGCGCGGAGAAGATGATTGGTATCAGAGAAAAAGACACATTTCTGGTCTGGCGTGATGTTGGATCACAGTCTACAGCTGAAATAAAAAACAACAGTTCCGCACATTTGTGGGACTTAAACGGAGACTCTGATTTCACGTTGGTGCTGGACTGCTGTGATCTGAATGTGACAGAGGTTGAGGAGGTAGATGTCACCTCTGTGTCTGACAAGTGTGCTATCTCATCAAAGGATGTGTCAGATAAAGCAGGGCTAAATCCCAACTTTACTCAGACACTCATACACTTACCCTTTTGTAAATGGAGGCAGAAGCACCAGCTTTTTTTAATGTGTAGTCGAGCCCCCATCGCACAGGCTGGAAGCCCACTGTCATTTCGTAGTGATCGATGGAGTCTGCAGGTGAGAAAAAAGGGAGTGACTTGTCCTCAGGAATTTCCCCACGTGATTAGGATCCTTTATGAGACCAAGCCAACAGGTGGCTCTGTGAGATGGACCAAAGACCAGGATGACAGGTTTGTCTAATTCTGCCTTTTTTGTACAAAGGAACTGTCGGCTGGTATCAGCCGTTACTGCAGATGGTCAAAACTGCCCCACTACTGCCCAGTAAAAAATGACCTACTTCTAATGTCACCTAGGTTAATTAGGCATAACAGAAACATCCAACAAAATTAGGGTCTCAATCAAATGCTAGGTTTTGGCTCAAAGACACTTTGTTGGACTAGGCAACAGAGGCAAATAAGAAACTGCTCCTCACAGAAAGAAGAGAAAATTCAATTATGTCAACATCAACATTATTATTAATACAGCAGGCCTGCAAACTGATACGTGTCGCATTATTTTCATTTACTCTAGAAGATTTATAAGAAGTATTATATTGGTGGCACAGTTGAGTGGGGAAATAAGGACAACAAGCAGGGAAACACAGCTACTTTTACAGTGGTATGAAAAAGTTTGGGCACCCCTGATCATTTTCAAGATTTTCCTTTATGGATTATTGGTGGTTTGAAACAGCAATTTCTATATAATAATAATAATAATAATATGATTTACAGAAAGTGTGCAATAATTACTTAAACAAAAGTAGGCAGGTGCATAAATTTGGGCACCCCAACAGAAAAATTACATCAATATTTAGTAGATCCTCTTTTTGCAGAAATAACAGCCTCTAAACGCTTCCTATAGCTTCCAATGAGGGTCTGGATTCTGGTTGAAGGTATTTTT